GTGACCTTAAGTAAGTCACTTCCTCTATCTGGGCCTCATCTACAATGACTAAGAGGGAGGCTGTAGACATTAACTTAAGGGTTTTCAAACTGGCTTTAACTGCGGGGTCCTGTCTTCAAAGGAAACCTTAGGTAGCAACCCAGTGTCTAATACTGAGTGTCCAGCCAAGCCTCTCGGGTTGAAGTGAGGGTGGGGATGGGGACGCCCGGCCCGTTGTGACCTTGAGGGGGCCTGAGCAAGCCTTTAGACGATCTCCAGGGTCTCCTTCAACTCTGTCCCCAGAGGCGAATTTGCCCCATGCTGAAGGTTAAGCTCTGCACAGTCTATGGGTTGGAACCCCAGGTCTACCACTTACCGTGTGTCTACTGACATCACCGATCTCCTTTGGGCCTCGGTTTCTTCATTTGAAAATTGAAATAACAGTTATACCTATCTCAGAGGATTGTCAAAGGGCTGTATTAAATAATGTGCATAATATCTAGCACTCAATGAATGTTATAATTATTCCATGATCTGATGTAATCCTGCTGGGGGGTTTAAACTGACAAATGTGATGTGAGAAGGTGTATTAGGAAGGATGACAGCAAAACAACTATAACAAAAAAGCACCACAACACAGCAGTTGGTAGAACACAAGTTTATTTCTCATCTAACGGTCTGACAGGGAGCAGTCCCAGACAGCAGGCGACTCTGCTCCACCTGCTCAGTCAGGAACCCCGGGTCCTTCCATATTGTTGTTTTGCCATCTCTTTGGGATTTCTCAACTGCATGGCTGAAGTTCAGTCGTAGGTGCCATCTGGTCCATCTCATCAAAAGCAGAACTTACGCCTTAAGGCTCCGATGACATCACTTAGCTCACATTCCCCTCTGGCCGCACCTGGCAGCAAGGGCCGCTGGGAAAATGGAGTGTCCAGCTGGAAGACTCTCTACCCTCCCCCAATAAGGAGAGAAGGGGTTTTACTGGATAACTGGTTGTCTTACTTCCAGGGCTCAAACCCACACCCAAGTCTTCCTCTCTCCTTCCCCAGGAAGGGGAAATAGAGTCCCCAGCGCAGAAAACACTGAGATTGCCCAGTGATGTCCCACCACTCATCCCCAAATCAGCAGTCCCAGGAAAGCGACTTGCTCCAGGGAGAACACCCCTCTACCCATCTTCTTTACAAGGACATAGGAGAGGCTTCTGTCCCCACTGCCCACCTGCCACTCCCTCTCTCAGGCTCATTTCATTTTCTAACCCCTGTTCCTAGTCACAAGGTATGACTACATGTGTGGGCGTGCAGGATGGCCTGAGCCAGGAATGGAAGGCAAGACTGAGGCAGGAAGGCCATGCTTTGCAGGCAGCCCAGGCCTGGATTTTGGTGCCAGGCAAACCCAGCTACCCAATGTGTGAACTGAAGCAGAGATTAAGTTCTCTAAGCCTCAGCTGGTTCTGCTGGAAATAGGAATGAGAAACCCCATCAGCAGTGCTGTGAGCATTAAAATGGATAACATATATACCTGCACACAGTAGGCCCTCAAGAAATGGTAACTGATTGTATTTGATGCCAGCAAAGCAAATCAGATCCATGTCCTTTGGCCTCACCCAGCCTTTGCACGGTCCTGTTTTCCTCTCCTTCCTTGCCATTGTGCCACTACTGTCCTCTTCACTTCCTATCCTCAGTCCCTTCCCATTTGAACCCTAATCTACACTTTCCTCCTCCAGGAAGTCTTTTCTCCTTGTGTCAACTTTGCATGTGTCCCAACTCCCCCTTCAGAAAGGGGGCAGTAATGGAAAGGGGGTTAAGGTTTGTTGGCGGGCAGATCAGAGGTCAGATTCCAACCTTGCCACTTTCCAGCTTTATGATGTTGGAAAGTCACTTCTCTTTGGACCTGTTTTCTGAACCTTCTCGAGAGGTCAGTATGTGCTGCAGGTACGGAGTATGAGGGCAGTCAGTTAACACCAGTCTCCTCTGCTCCACCCCCTCTCTCCCAGCCCACACTCTAGGGACTGACTCTCCACCAGAGGGAAATATTAGACATGAAAGGAGTCCCCCCTCATGGCCCTCACCGGGGAAAAGGAAGTGACTTCCCCTTGAAGTCTGTGGGCACTGGGAAGGGACCTCCTAATCCAAGAGCCCAAGCAGAGACCAGAGAAGGGCTCAGGCATCCCAGCTCCCAGGGCCTCAGTGTCTCACTCTCCTCCTGCCCTCGCCACCTGCACCAGGTTGTGAGACCAGATCTGGGATGGAGCTGAGAGGGCTGATGTGATGATTACAGTCTTAGAGAATCCACTGAACTCTTACCTCTAAGAGGGTCTGTCTACCCATCTCCAGCCCTCCCAGATCAGGAAAGCAAAACCTCAACAACAACTAAGGCTTAATAGTGCTTCCTGCAGGACTGACTTGTTCTGGGCACTTCACAGTTTAACTCACTCCTCAACAGCCTCTGAACTAGGTCCCATTACCTCTTCAGAGGAGGGAACTGTACCAACTTGACCAACCAAGATCCCACAGCCAGCCTGAGGCCGGGCTTCCACTCAGACCTGCAGTCCGGCTCCAGGACCACGCTCTTCACCACTATGCTATAGCAGAGTACTGTTTACCGGTAGTTTCTACGCGCCAAGCACTGTGGGAATACATTTCATAGAGTCCCAAACCCCCTCCCATCGAGATAGCAACTGTTATTATCCCAGTTTTATGGGGCAAGAAACTTAAGGCAGAGAAAAATTAAGCAACTTGCCTCAAGTCACACAGCTAGATAGCTTCCAAACCCCCAGCTGCTTTACCTCACATTCCCCTCCCAACTCCTTCTGGAGGTGGGTTTTTGAACTACTAGCACCTTCCTTCAAAATCCACTTGACCTGCACAGCCCACAACCTGTTCTCCAACTACTCCAGCTCATTCTGCCCCTCTCCCTACCCCCTCCCCTCGACACCTCCCAAACCATTCTGCCCTCCCCCACTGCTCCAGCTGAATCCGATGAATTTCACCAAAAAAGACCCTCAGACTTTCCCCATTTAGGTCCCCACTGAGCCCTGATCTCCTGCCTCTCTGCCCCCAGGGGAGGCCAAGCAGTGGCTATGCTGCGAAGTCTGAAATAAAATTCCCATTCTATTCTCCCACAACCCCCTCCCATCACTCATCCTGGAATCCAGGCCAAAGAGGGGAGCTAAAGTGCAGAGCATTCATTTAATATTAACAAATTGAAATGAATTCTTTTAATGCCAATTAACTTGGAGCGGCCCCTTATTAATAGTAATTTAGATTCATACTGGGGAGAAGTGGGGATGGGGGCTGGGCCAAATGTGCCCAGAATGTCAATGTGACAACCCAGCTGGAGAGGGGAGGGGGGGTGGCAGTTTTCTGCCTAGTTGGGGTCTGTTTCTCTTAGAGAAAGGGACAGTCACCAGAGGCAGATTTTCAGGAAAAACATTAGTCTTGTAATGTGATTTTTGTTCCTGCAATTTTTGATGGTTGACTTAACAATAATGCCAAAAAGAATTTTCTCAGAGCCAGGATTTACCCCAAACTCTCCTAAGCCAGACCTCACTGACCAGAAGTGATGAGTGCCCAGGCCAGCTCTCTCTCTCTTTTGTGTCTATCTAAAGCTATAGATCAAAACGGGGTCCCCCAGTCCCTGCCACCTCCATCTTAATCAAAAGTAAGAGAGGACTAAACATTGTGTGTCTCTTCCCAGAATCCTCTCCTAGCGGGTAAGAGACCCAACAGACTGATTCTAAGCAAACGGCTTACATTTAGGGGAGGAAAAACAAATTGGCTTGTACTTTTCTGAGAATTCAGAGAAAAGATGAGAATTCAAAATTCAACTTTGTGTACCAATAGTTGCCCAGAATAGATCCAAGACGAAAGAGCTTATTCCCAGACCAAAAAATCTAAAAGAAATTCTACTATCCCTGATTTTGCTGGCTGGGGGTAGGGGTGGGATTAAAGGTGCCCAGAACCAGCTCCCTGAGTGTAGGCTCTGACCCAAGTAGGACACTTTCTTCTTCCAAGGGGCCCCTCTTGGCTAGGAAGGTGCATCAAATGTGAAGCTGGGAATGGGGGTTTTGAGATGGAGGGAAGTAGGGGCCTGGAGAAGGGGAAGGGAATGTACAAAATGGTGACGGTTATAAAATAAAACTTCTTAAGTGGTTTAACATACAAAAGATTAAATTTAAAGAATGGGTCAGGTTTTAAAAGGAGCTTATACATCAAAATAGACATCCTTTTATACATGAAAAGGAGTAAAATACATCAAAATTGAGAGATTAAAATAAAAATGAGGACAACGAATAAAACACTTCAAGTAAATTGTTCTTCAAAAGTGGAAAGGTAGGAATTAATCAAAAGAGACCTTGTTCACAGCCCCATAAATTCACTTACAAAATAAGAGAAATCAGCAAAAACTAACCCTGGGTCAACACTTGGTGAAAAAAATCATGTGAAACTTGAAAAACATAAGGTGTAACTCATCCCCAAAGAAAAGTAAACTCTCCCTAAATAGAAAGGAATATAAAATTAATCCCCAAAGTATCACTCAACCCGCACCAAAAAATGTATATTGATTTGAACTTAATCTTTCCCCAAATCTGAAAATTTCATACAAAAAAATACAAAAGAATTGTTTTCTTTCAACTAAGAGAAAAGCAAAATCGGATTTAAGTTGCCTAATGGGGCAGAAGGGGGACGTTGTTTGCAGGTGCCAGAAAGGATGGGGAGGGGTGTTCGAGAGGTGGGGAACTCGCTTACCTTGGTTTGGAACGGTGGCAGCAATAAAGAAGTGGCTGCGGGATCCTTCGAGTGCCTGCGTCTAGGGGAAAGGAGAAACAGGCAATCCGATGCCCCACACATATGAGAAGGGTGGAAGAACTGGGGGTACCCATCTCCCCACCTCCGCCTGCCTCCCTCCCTCTTGCACCCAGGCCTAGAGGCTACTGAAAGTTACAAATTGCTTCCATTATTAGCTCATCCCGGGCGGCCTGGTCATTGGCCAATTCGGGACCACGTGGTCCCTCGTACCAATCGATCGGATTTCTGGTTGCAATTCTCTGTCCCTTGGCTCTGGGCAGGGAAGGGGGGAGCCACGGCGCTGAGGCTGGGGAGGGGCTAAATGGGGGGAAGGTCTCTTCGCCCCCTGTCTCATTTTCTCCGCCTAGTCCCGGCCCTGAGTGCCGCCCCAGAAGTGGGTGAGGGAACGTGGTGGGCTGGGACAACCGGGGAGGGCACAAACTGGAGGCAGCTGGAGACGTCGCCAGGGACCCAAGATTCCCTCCTCCCCGTTCTCGGGTCCGGCCGGCCCCACAGGCCACTTCCTCTGTAGCGCCCACGCTGCCCCGGGCGGCCCCCCCCGGCTAGCAGCCTGACCCTTTGCCCCAGGCGCCGGAATGTCTTCTCTCTGGATGACTGCTTCGGCCCCCACTTCGGAGAAGGTGCACCCGAGTCCCGCTTCCTCGAGACTCGCCCTGCATCAGGCGCCTCAGCCCTCAGGGCCTTCCCCATCCAACGTCCGAGTTTGCTCCCTCCTTGGGACAGTTTGAAGAAAAGGACAAACTTTTGAGTGGATAAAAATCAAGAGGAGCCCGTCCGGAGCAGGTGAGCTGGGCCTGGGAGGGGTGCGTGCGCTTTAGCTTGAAAACAATTTGTCTCTGTCTCTCCCTCTCCCTCTCCTTCTTACTCCAACCCGTTTACCCAGCAGGCAGATAGTAAACTGCCCACCCTTGAAGGACTGTGGGCCGGGGTAGGGCCCCTGTCAGCTGAATGGGGCCAGAGCAGCTTTCCTCTCCCGAGTTCTGGGACTATGGTGACGACTGGCAGAGGGAGGAGAAAGGTTGTTTCTGAAACTGGGGAGAGCGGGAGAAAACGGGGGCCCAGAGACCCAAAGATCTGAGGGTGATTACTTCTTTTCCCAAACGCACTGGCAGAAACTTCAGAAAAGTTTTTGAAGGGAGAGATGGGAGCAGAGGTGGGGTTTTGAGGTTTAAAGTGGGAGGGAGGGGCGCCCTTTTTCCTATATCGAAGGAAGGATACATTCGCTTGTTTCCCAATCAGGGCTGATCCCCACTGTAGAAAAACTGCGGCCAGGTCCGGAACCTGCTCACCCAGCAAGCGCTTAAGAGACGCTTGGAGATCCGCAGCGGGTCTCCCAGAAGGGAGAGGAGTGCCAGCCGAAAAGAGCAGTTTCCCACTCTGCTCAGGTGAGGGCGGGATATCAGCCCAGAGCCTCAGCCCCGGACGGCCTCTGCCCCTGCTGTTCCGGGACCTTTCGCTAATTTAGGAGTGACTTAAATTAGAGTGAGAACTTCTCCCAAATTTCTAACACTCCCTTTAAATCCAATTCGTCCCAGAGACGCACTTCCCTAAGATGGAATCAAGGGAGTGCGCCTCCCTGTCCGCCAGCACAACCTTCCTACTTTCTCCAGCTTGTAGGAGGGTGCAAGGAAAAGAGCCCCCATCCCCTTTTCGGGGCTGAGAATGCCTCCCCGCCCCCCACCCACGCCGCCCCTACCAAGGGAAGTCCCAAGAGGAAGAGATGGAGGAGGCTCTTCAAAAGGAAATCAAGGGCAGGGGGTGGGTTCGTAGGGTGCGACTGAACTTGGGGCCCCCCCAGCTTTGAGTGGGGGGAGTAGGCACACCGAGGCGGGTACTGCGGCTGGCCTGAGGGGCGATCTGGCAAAGCTGGCAAAGGTGGAAGCTGCTGCAGGTGCCCTAGCAGGGCAGGGGAATCCTCAAGCCCCCCAGGGTTCCTGAAAGTTGAGCGTGACCTTGGACAGACGTCCGCAGTGCCCCTAAGGTTTGTGGGTCCGCAAAGGCAGAAGGCAGGCAGCGCGTTTTTACCGGTTCATGGAAAAGGGCCAGGGCGGGAGGGCCTGTGGAGTCCAGGAGAGAAAATTCCCACGACCAGCACGTGGTTTCCCTGTGGCGCCCCCGCACACCCGGTCCACACCCTCCGAAGGCCGCTGGGCCCTGTTCCGTCCGGAGCCGCCACACCACACAGGCCTGTTTTCTCTGCACCCGGAGGTTTCTCCGTCGGTAATCCAGAGGCTGTCCCCGCACCTGCTCCCATGGGAACCCCGAAATTGAGCCCGCCTGAGAGGTTTAGGGGGGCTGCAACCGGCACTGCCTAGAGAATGGTCTCCGGAGCTGGGCGACTGATGTCTAAAGAAATCTAAGCCCTTTTCTTTCCTCCTATGATGTGGCCCTGCACAGCTCCGCATCCTAGAGGAGTTGTATGGAAAGTCCCATCCTGCCCCAATCCCAAAACTAACAACTGGGAGCAACTAGGGCCCCTTTTGTGGGCAGCCTGGCTCTGGGTGCAGTAAGAGAAGGGGCCTGGTTCTGGGCTCCCCCCCCCAGCACCTGACGAGTCCAGTCCTTTCTGCACCCACTTCCCAACAGCCTCCCCCAGCCACCTCCAGTCTGTGGGGTTGTGTCTCTTTTACCCTTTCCTTTCTCCTCTTCCCCTTCTTCTTTATTAGGATTGATGAGTGACAACAGTTTGGCAAGGCCCTTCTAAGCCTGTAGTGGGGAGCTGTGGGCTCAGCCCCACCTTCTTAACTAGGGGCAATAGCCCCATTACTGGGCCCTTGAAATTGACCCCCACGTTGAGGGAAGTTGAGAGAGAATGATATGAAGGATTGCTGGGCTGACACGGGACAGAACCCTGACTCGGGGAGGTGGCAGTTTTATGCCATAAGCCTGTTGCAGAGAGAGGGTTTAGAAACAAAGGAAGATAGAAAGAAGGCCAGGGAAACAGCACAAAGGACTAGAAAAATTCAGAACAAAGAGAAAGACTGGTAAGGGAAGAAAAGATTGAGAAAGCTCCAGTCCTGGGGACTGAGGAGGGGACTCTGGCAGGGGTGGGAGAGAGGTGAGCATGAGGAGTTCTGACAAAGGACAGGACTAAGAAGTGGGATTAGTTTATGAGAGAAAAAGGCAGAAAGGAAGGAAAGAGAAAGAGAAAATAGGGAAGGAGAAAGTACATGAATGAAAGGAGGGAGCCAGAAAGTAAAAGACAAGGGAAGGCAAAGAAAGCGGAAAGAAAGAAAAAGAAATGGAAGGGAGAAAGAAAGGGAGATAGGTAGAAAAGGAAGAAAGGTAGGGAAAAAAGGAAAGAAGAAAGGGAAGAATAAAGAAAAAAGTGAAGGTAAGGCAAAAAGAAAAAAGAAGGAAAAACAAGAAATAAAGATACAGAGAGGTAAAGAAGAAACTGCAGGTATTCTGCTTCAGGAGGAGTGCAGGGAGGGAAGGAGTAGGGAACAAGGGAGAGGCTGGTGGGCCTGGTGGGGGTTTCCCAGCTTCCTGGGTGCCCACCCTGCTTCACCTGGGGTAGCAGAGGATCTGGCCTACCACCACCTCCACCCCAGGCCCCAGTGCCTCTCTTGGTGTCCCCTAGTATCTGCAGCCATGGCAACTGGAGAGGTGGAGACACATTCTTGACCAGCTTCTCCATGAAGCAGTTGACCAAGCTGGACAAGGACTTCCTCCTGCTGCCGCACCTGCCTGGGTTCCAGAGGTCCGGTTCTGCTTCCAAAACCAGTGCATGGAGCAGAGGCAGTTTAGAGAGGGCCAGTCTGGCCAGCTGTGACCTGCTCGACTCAGTCTCCTCACCCACAGCTCTGAGTGCCTCCACCCAGGCCCTGCTGGCAGAGGCTGTCTGCAGACTGGGCCACTTTGTTCTTCCATGATGCTCTGGCTCTGCGATCTTAGGCCTCTGTTTAGTCATAGGTCAAATGAACCCTTTGCTGTGGAGGGTTCTTCTGTAATTTTGGTTAGCCTGACTCTCTTAGTGCAGGTGAGAGAGGGGTGAAGATAAGGCTGGTCCTCTCTGGGAAGAGCATCTCCATATTCTTCATTGGTGAGAGGAAATATCTTCATCCTTTATCTCTTATCTCAGTCCCTGCCGGAGAAACCTGTCTCCCAGGGCACAGGGTCTCTCCATGCCGAAGGGGTTGGCTTAATCTGCAAAGAGCTGGTGTGAGGTTGGCAGGTGCTGGAGAAGCCAGAGAAAGAATCTAATTCTTGGAAGAGGGCAAGTGGATTTTAGGTTTGCAGTATATTTCACTGAACTTACACACACAGAGGTTAATTGCAAAGTGGCTTTAAATTCAGCCTGTAGAGATTGAGTTGGGTTGTGCATCTGTTGCCAATAGGATTGTGCATCTGTTGCCTATTGGCTGCACTCCTACGCCCTGTTCTTGTGCTGGGGGGCAGCTGCCCAGTTTGATTCAGAAGGTTTCATAAAGCCAATTAGGTAACTCCTTTGTTCCCCAAAAGTGGGATGGGGAAGGTCACCAAGGTCAGCCAGAGCTTCCAAGTGCAGTGTGCATCTTGAGGATACGCTGGAGGGCCCTCAAACTCCCTGCTTCCACAGGAAACCCCAAAGCTCCTCTCAGGCATGCTTCCCAGTGTGGTTCCCTCACCTTTCCTCAAGCTTTTTCCTTCCTTCATTTACCTTTCCCCCTCTCTCCTGCTCCCTTTCTTCCCTCTTCCCGTTCTTTCTGTTTTCTCTCTCTTTTTCCCTTTTCTTCTAATCCAAGCTGGGGCTCCTGTAGCTCTGTCTGCCTCCCAGAAGCTTTGCCCTGAGACCTTTAGGCAAGCTAACCTGCACCCTGCCCTCAGTAGCTCAGTGTGTGGATGCAAATACTGGGACTGGAAGACGAGGAAGCTTTGCAAATCGGGTGCCGGATGAGTCAGCTTGTTCTCTTATCAGTTATGATTATTGCCGACGCATCCCTGTGGCTCATCCCAGAAAATCTTTCCCTGCCCTTTCCCGTCTTGCCCCTGCCCATGGGGATGAAGTTGCTGGTACCCTCCAGGCCATTGCTGCCCCAGAGTGAGTGAGGGCCTCCAAGACCTCACCTTGGTGCAACAGGGAGTGTGACGCTAGTGATGTCAGGTCAGATCCTCAAACCATTACATAAGCAAAGCCTGTTTCCCTATTCTTGATGCATCTAAGGTCTTCTTTCCCTCAGATGGAGAGGCTGGTTGATTCTGGCTCTGGGCCGTCTCTCTAAGGAGTACCCCTGATTAACTGGGTCCCTGCCATCTACTTCTGCTCAACAAAGGAGGCCACTCGAGGCCTTGGTGGAAGGACGCACACTTTCTGCCCCTAGCAGCTTCCTTGCCCCAACCTGGCCGCTTGGAGACGAAGGGAACCTAGTTCACTTTGCTGAATCCGGAATCTCAGCCAGCAGAGCCAACAGCTGCAGCCGCATCCTGGAGCCTGACGCTGGCAGCAGTTTCTGCCTCTGGGCTCTCCGTGCCACCTTGGCCTCTGCTTCGTGTGGTTTGCTCTTGTGTTTTTCTCCCTCATTTAGGGGTGGTGGGGAACAGGGAAATAAAATGTGTCTACCATGCCCCTAATCCTTCCCCATGTCCCCACCAAACCTTAAAGCCACTGATGGTAATGAACTGCAGCTTCCAGCTGTGCTCATAAGCTATTCAAAGCAAATGCACATTCTCTTGGGGCAGGAGGAAAGCAGATGCCCCTTCTCAGCCCTCCCTTGCTCACTGATCCATTTTAAGCATTTTAGGGTCACAACTGAGACCAGATCACTTCAGTTGGTATAAAATTAGCATTTTTTACCAAACCAAAGGCCTAGATTTGTTGAATCAAGGAATAAGAGGTCTTTATCCAGACCCACATCTCTTCTCTGGCCTCTCAAAACAGTAATGATGTAAAGACTTGTTGAGGTGGAGAAATAGAAGAAAATGAGCAATTTGCTCCATCTAGAAGTCAGTAACTTCAGCTGTTTATTCCACTGTTTCTTTAACACCTACTATGCAAAGCATTGTCTCGACCTCAGTTTGTCATGACTGCCAAAAATGATTCTTGCCACTGTGAGGCTTCAGTGTGTGTAGAAATATATAAAAATACATCAATGGAAAAGCAAACTTGCATTCCGCTGATTTTGATTGCAGCCTTCCATGTGCCTGGTCTCTGAGTTCCTGTCATCTCAGCTCCAGCTACCCACACATACTTGGGTGGAAAAGAGGACTGCCCTGAGGTTCATTTGTTTCCCCCACTGGAAAAATGTTAGGATTGGAGCAAGAAACACACACTGGGATTGGCAGGCATGAAAGCCCTGAAATATAGCATTTGGGATGGTCGGCAGAGGGGCCCTCCCAGGCCAACCCCAAAGATGCGTGCATTGTTGGTGTGTGGGGGATGATATGTTTCTCTGGGTTTCTAAGCAGGCTCTGGGTTTGCCTTGTGTGATCATGTGCCTGAAGGTGACAGCAAGAGTGTGCAAGTGAACTGAAGGGGGCTGGACAAGTGTCCCCACACCAGGCTCGTGTGTACTGGACCCAGACGCCTGCACGGGAGCAGGTGTGTGCGTGTATGTGTGAGCACATGCGCGTGTGTGTTGGGCAGGTACACACACAGATCTGAACATATCTCTGCATACGTGACCCTCTGTGTATGCAAAAGTGTGCGTACTGGCTGAATTATTATAAAATTACCCTGACCCTTACAGAAAATCCATACCAGCCTCAGCCTTTCTCCCCTGACCTCTCGACCTCTGGGGTGCCTGAGGAAAAAGCTGACCCGGTCACAGCCTCCCCCTAGTCAATGAGTCCTCTCTCCATTAGCATAAAACATGAATCTGCTGGCAGCTTGACAAATTATAACTAGCAGCCAGAGTTTTGCCAACTGGCTGGCTTGGGCGCTGTCTATTTATCATTGAAAATGGTAAATCATAAGAATCCAGATGACTTAATTATTCAAATCCACCCAGAGCCCAAGAAGCTGCAGTCCTGTCAATTTCAGGCCTGGGCTCAGGGGGGGAACAAGGGGAGAGTGCTGCTGGCTTGAGAGCTGGGAGACTCAGGTTCTGTCACCTCCACTCTCTGCCTGGCAAGCGGGGGTTTTCTTGGCAGCCCCTACCCTCCCAGCCTTCCCTGGCCAATTTTCTCCCTGCCGACCCTCCAAGGAGGGTCTCCCTTCCGGCCTTCAGCAGCCGCCTTGTCGCTCCACAAGCTCACATGGTGGTTCTTGGCCTCTCTGTGTGAAGCTCTCTTGGCTAGCTCTCCCTCTATGTCAGTGACTTCATTTTTATTTCCTCTCTCTTTCCTATCCTTTTTGCCATTTTTCTCTCTCCCCTCTCCCTCCAGATGGGCACTGCCCCCTCCACGCACATGACCTGTCTGCCAGAGGGGTGGCTGCGCTCCTGCCCCTTTGTTCTCACTGTCCCAGCAAGGCCCTGCTCAGGATCCTCAGGCACGCGTGCTGCACCACCCTTAACTGGGCACCTGTCTGAATTCCGTCCACCTTGGAACCACATGGAAACACAAACTTCAATAGCTGCTCTTGGGCTTGCTCTGCCTTTTGCGCCTCCACCCCCCAAACACACAACCTTTTTGTCCCTTCTGTGGATTTCTGAATACCTTTCTGCACAGCTTGGGAGGTAGCAGACAGGCTGTCAGAAATGTGCCTAAACAGGAGGCAGGACTGAGTCCCAAGGAGGTCTGCCCTCTGGGGCTAGCCCTTCACCCCCAGCATGCAACCACCTTGAGCCCTTGTAGAGGGATTGCCCAATGTGTTTTCCCACAAGAAGAAAATCTGCTTACAGAACAAACCCTTGATCCAGAGGTCTGCACACTGAGCTTCCAGGGAACCCTCTGATCTCTAGGTCCTTTTATCTTTGTGTATAAATACATGCTACTGTTACTTCCAGTACTGGATCCCAAGGGAAGTTAATGCTCTCCCTGGCCCCCTAGTGGGGTGGTGCTGGGTGGGCCCACACATTCACCAACACTGGTGTTCACACTAAAGGACAATGTGGGTGGCAAGGAGGGTTACCAGGGCCCCTCCCTTTGAATGCTATCTTGACTTATTCTTTTGGGGTGCCTGTGAGGGCCCCAGAGCCCTGTTCCCAGAGGCTCCTCAGAGCCCACTGTTGTGTCTGCAGTTTGTCAGTTTGGTTCTGAGGGGCTGCATTAATGGTGTGTGTGTGTGTGTGTGTGTGTATGGTGTGTGTCTACATACTTCAGGAGTCCTTGTGCTGGAACAACAAGTGACAATGTCCCCACCAACAGGACACCTGAGGAATCAGTCCTCTCACTCCCCACAATTCCATTTTAAGGCCTCTGAGCAATGTTGGTCTCAATAAAATACTGGCCTTGCCATATCATAAAACCTTTAAGATGGAACTACTTGTTTCTGCTACTGAAAGTAAGTTCTTCCTTAAGTCTAGCTTTCTTTTCTTTTCAGGGTGGAGTAACAGGGTAGTTGGGAATCTTGGGAGGGGACTCCCCACTCCTCTAAGAGAGCATTTATGGCATAGATGGACCCTCCCACGCCTGGACTCGTCTGCGCTGCTGTAACAGGCATCCCTTCTTTCCTTTCTGCCCACCTTTCTAGTTGATTTTGACAAGAGGCAAGGGGTGAAGCAGGAGTGGAAAGGATCAAGATTCAAAAGCACGCCAGCAGCTGCAAGGTAGGGAGATCAGTAAGGGAGACAGATTGGAGACAGGCTTCCTCTCACTTTTTTTCTGCTGGCTCAGCACCCCCACCCCAGATCCTAAAAGCAGGTGGGGAAAAGAGCCAAGCCCTGGCCTCTCTCTGCCCTTCTAACTCAAACAGGTTCCTCATCCCTGGGTAGAGGGTAAACAGCCTCCAAGCACATGGGGATTAACCACAGAAATGCCACTAATGTATCTCAGGCACTCTTCCCTGCCCCCACTCCCATCCCATGTTACTAATTAGCCCAACAGCTTGGGAGAATCTTGGGAGGAGTAGCTAAGCCTGCCTTTGTGCAGACTCTACAAGCCCAGGTCTGAGCTCTGGATAGTGTCTCTGGTGCTAGACCAGCTGAGGGTGGCAGAGGAATTTCAGTCCCCTCCCCACTCACTGACTCCTAAATCAGCTCAAAGGCAGATAGCATTTTTCCCCCTGCACCGTCCCTGAATCCCCCTGTCTCCTCTTGGCTGTTCACAGCTGGGAGGCAGGTGGGGGACAAGAGGGAGAGTGGAATTGGCTCCAGAAATCAAACGGCCCAATAAAAAATTAATTGTCTAATTAAACCATGAGGAAGCCCCTTGCCAGAGTTTGGCTTTGAGTCGTCAGGGCTATAAAGGGTGGGAAAATGAGTCTCAGCTCCTAATAAATTCCTGATTTGCAGCATGGTCTATCAGCGAAGGAGCACTGGGCGTTCTGCCTGGTTAGTCCTCCTGGAGGTCATTCCGTCCCTCTCTCTGCCCCCAGCCCCAGCGATCGTGCCCACCACCACCTCCACACACCCCACCCAGCCCGGAGACAGGAGCCTCTCCAAATGGACAGAGAAGCCCCTAGGAAAGGCAGGTGAGGATTCCCGAGAGTGGCCTGCAGTCTCCCTGCTCTGGTGCTCAGCCACTTCTTCCTGGTCTTTTCTCAGGAAAAGAAACTTCCTGGAAACTTCCTCAATGGGAGAGTTCTTCACTGAGGTTAACTAATAATTGTCATAAACAGGTTTGCTGTGTAGGTTCATTTTGATCTCTCCCCCTCCATTTTTGTGAAAAATACATTTTTACATTATTCGTGAACCAACAGGTTCCCTCCCTTAGATGTTAGGGCTGATTTTTGCAGGTGAATAACAGGTAACCAAGGTAAGAAATTAATCTAACCCTCAAAAAAGGGCTGTGCACACTGCCCAGCTGTCCAAATTCTCTAGAAGAATGAACACCATGAACAGCCGGTCCATGCATGCCTAGGAGAGGCAAGCGGAGTTAGACATCTCTCGAGTGCAGACAGGGATCTCAACCTTCTCCCTGAATAACTGTACCAGTGCTTCCCTTGGGTCTCTCCATGCCTCTATTCCCTCTCTTCCTTGGCAAAAGCAAATGCATTATACATCATCAGAAGTATTAACTCACAATAGCAGGAGGGGGAGGAAGTGGCTAGTACACAGCTTTCAACATCAATATATATTATTTTATTATATAAAATACAAAATGGGATATATACCTGTGATTAGCTTCTTCAGAGAAACATGGGAGGGTAAACAACGGGTGTCCTTAGGAGTACATACACTTATTCCATATGTACCTCTATTGATAAAAACATTTCTGCAAAGCTTCCTTTAAAAATTGACTTTGTAGCCATTTTACAAAATATTCAAGACAACCATGATCACCTATGAATTATTTTTTGAGCGTGACTCCAAAATAAGCGAAGGATAAAGATTTGTCACTAATAAGGACATTCAAAAAACGGAGTCAAATACCCTGAAGACAGTTCCCAAAGAAAAGACATAAAACCTTTCATCTCTGAGGCCTTGTTGGAATAAGGGGCTCTCCTCACAAGGTGACTGCTTGGAGTCAGCACTGCTCTTCAGATGTGGTTCTCTGGAGCCACATCTGGAGTGTATTATTTATCATTCCTGATGAGAATCCCTTCGTTCATCTGGTTGTTATTTTTCATCCTAAGCAGTGAACTAAGCTTTACTGAAGAAGGAGTAAAAGGAAAGGAAACAAATTCCTGACCCCCCCTTCTGGGTCAGGATCCCATTTCAGATTTTAGCAGATTCCCATGCACAAGTGTCCCCTTGGTGGCAAGGCCTTTCTGTGCCTAGGAACCCCAACCTAGAGACTGGAACGTAGACACTGATTCTGATTCACCTCATATTAACTGCAGACACAGAAAGTGCCAGGCCCCACTGGCGCTGACATGTGGGTCATCCTTTTCAATCTTTGAGTTTAAGACAGTTTTCCTTCCCAGATGGGAGGAATTTGTCATTTCTTTTCCCTGTAGCCTAATCCAGAATAAAGCTGTTCCCATGTCCCACGAGACATGTTCCCTTTCCTGGAGACAGCTCTGGTTTCCTGGTGCCCACTTCTCATGAGGACTTAACTTTGGAGAAAATTTTGTCCATGTCTCTGTCTCTAGGCAAAGCCTCACTTGAATATTCCTAGTTCTCAGGTTGACCAGCTTA